CCTGGGAATTGAAGTCCACACATCTTAAAGCTGCCAAGGTTGAGAAACAGTGACGTAGAGGGGTTTCACTGCTCACAGCCAGTTTGGCAGGGGCGAGGGGGGACAGAAAGGGGTCCACAAATCAATCCCCAATAGGAAGGAGCAAAGGGCTAGAGCAGACCACGTTACACCAGCCATTAATTCTACTGATCTTCCTTTTTTGCCTCGCATGGGCTGGGCTAGATGGCCTCTGAGTGACCCTGGGCCAGCCAAGTTGGCTGCTCTCCTTTGCTAATGCATATACGCGTGTGAGGGCCTCAGTGTGACCCCGTTGCTGCCTCCTTGGCGCGTCCTGATGCAACAGCCTGGCAATCTCTCTTCCCCTTCCTCCGTGAGTCACTCCTCCTCGCTCACAACTCCGACTCACCTTTCTCTGCACCGGTGTCGCAACCCCCAAACAAAGGACTCGCGTCGAGCGGAACTGGGTTGCTATCTCCGGCTGAGCCTGGCCCCAGGGAGCACCCCGGGGCTGCTGGAACTGCGGGGGGTGCCCTCCCCTCCTTTCGGCAGAGCTCTGAGCTCTGAATGGGATTGTGTTCCCCCCTCCCCAGGACGCCCGACGCAGGACTCAGCATGAAAGAGGAGGTTGAAACAGGAGCCCGGTTCATCGCTCGGCTGGTGAACCGTCACAAGAAGCTGGACGGGGAGCAGGTAGAGCGCTTCGGCGAGTGCCTGGCCGGGATCCTTTGCGACCGTTTTCATCAGCACTGGTACCCGGATAACCCCCTGAAAGGACAGGCTTATAGGTAAGCGAGGGGTGGGTGGGCTGGGCTGGGGAAGGGAAGACGGGCTGAGATCGGGGAGCAGAAGTTTCTCTCTTCTGTTCCTGGAGGCGGTGGATGGGTGGTCACGCCTGTGCACGGTTTTAGCTCCGGGAAGCTGGCTTCATCTTGACCCCCTTTCTCGTGGGTGGGCAAGAGAGACTCGGGGGCACCGTGGGCGTTGTGACATGGTGGTGGAAGTGACACAGATGTTATCATTCACGTCGTTTGCACTGCAGCTTCGTGGCGGGTCGGACACACGGTTTGCCTCTGCCCTTCCTGATAATTCAGCTGCTGTAGCTGAAGAGCTATGGATGAGATCCTATGCTTTCTTAGGATAGCCTATAAAACAGTGTTTCTTAACTTTGGCCACTTTAAGAGATATGGACTTCAACTTCCAGAATTCCCCAGCCAGCCCTGCTGGCTGGGGAATTCTGGGAGTTGAAGTCCAGACATCTCAAAGTTGCCAAGATTGAGAAACCCTAATTTACAGGGTGGTATAAGGCTCCATTCAGTCCCACCTTTGACCTAAGAGGCCTACAGCTAATGATTCAGGGACTTAATCACCATAAGATACTTTTACTACAGATAGTAGAAAAGGCCTTAATAATGAAGCAACCTGGCCACTGCAAACTCTAGGATTCCAGTTCTCTATGTAGCACTACCCAACTTTAAACCCTATATCTCTTTCTCCAACTCTTACATCATAACTGATTGAGAGCCATTTGTTTCTCAGCAGGAGAACCAGTTGCTTCCTATACATTGTTATGGGCTTGGGCTCGACTGCTGTCAGGCCCTTTGTTCTGATTTTACCAACTTTTTCCTTCCCACCTTGGAAATCGTGGCTCATTATGATCTCTCATATGAAAGGAATTGCGTAAATGGAACATTCATTGGTTTAAAATATTTCTTGATCATCTTTAATCAAAAAGATTTCCAGGAGTGTGTTGAAGTGTGAATAAAACTATTCACGCAATTCAGGAAAGGAATGTTTCAGCCAAGAATGAAGACATAAAGGGATCTTATCAAATTTGCAGATGACCCTAAATCAAATGAGACACTAATACTCTGTCAGAAAATAAGTAAATAAGTAAATAAATAAGTAAATAAATAAGTAAATAAGTAAATAAATAAATAAATAAATAAATAAGATTTGGAATTACCTCAGTAGGATAGAACTGAGTGGGTTAATAATAGTAATTATTGTTGTGGAAAGGTAATTGAGGCAAATGCAGGTGAAAAATGAAAAATGTGCAGGTTGGGGCTGGTCTGGTTTGGAATTTATGAAAAGGATCTTGGAATTGTAGTTGATCACAAGCTGAATGTGAGTCAGCAATGTGACACAGTTGCCAAAAAAAGGTAAATGCAATTCAGAAGGCAAATTCAATAGAAATAGCTTCCAAATCACAAGAAATAATAGTTCTGTTTTATTTTGCCTTGGTCAGAGTCCACCTCAACTAATATGCCCAATATTGGGGACTGCATTTAAAGGCAGGTTCTGAGAAACTGGAACAGGTGCAGAGAAGGATAATGACTGAAAACTAAGCCTTAGGAGGAGAGACAGCTTTAAATAGAGAAAGCCTGGGGGCAATAGCACTTTTCAGGCACCTGAAAGGAGCCAAGTCCTGACCTTCTTTTATATGACTCCAGAAAGCAGGACACAGAATAATGGTCTTCAGTTCCTTGAAGGAAGATTCCAACTGAATGTTAGAAAAACTGATACTGAATGGTGGAACTCACTATCCAGTGAAATAGTAGGTTCCCCTTCACTGGATATGTTCATGCAGAGCTGGACATCCCTCTGTTAGGGATGCTTTAAATTGAATACCTACACTGAACAGGAGGTTGGACTCCGTAAATGGTCCTGTTCAACCCTGAGTCAACCACACTGTCTCCCAATAGCATAGGAGAAAGAAGGGAAGGCAAGAGAGCTGGTGGGTCTCTGGCTCAGATCCTTTGTTCTGTTGCCCAGGCTGGGACCATAGGAAAGACTGGCCACTTCATTAATGCTATGGCCAAAGTTCAGGGAGCTCAAGTGGATGTTTCTCAGGACTGGCTGGGCTTGGGTTGGCTGGATCCTCTGACTTCTAGGAGCAGATCAATGAGCTGTAGTTCTGTTACCAGTTCCCCACCTTCTCTTTGCTTAACAGACCTGGAAGGGGACTTTGGCCATCCAAGTCAAGCCATAATGATGTGGTTTCCTGCGTTATTCACTTGTTACCGAACAAGATAATGAACCTCACCTGTTTTCACATGCTTACAGAGTGGTGTAAGATCCATTTCAGCATGCATGAGAAATGGATTCTCCTTGGGATGAGACCAAGCCACGTGTTGAGATAACCACTCACTTCACACAAAGGAAAAACAATGTATTCATTTTCTACCCATTCCTTAGAATTGTATCCCACCCTTTGTTGATTATCAGATAATGTGGTATTCTTGACTAATCAGTTCTTATGTCCTCCCACCCCACCCCACCCCACCCCACCCATGTCCCTGTAGTTCTACCAAGCCACACATGTGGAAATCCAGGAAGACTCCAGAATGGAATCCAGCAAGGAACAACGTTCAGCGTGGGAGACAAAGTGCGTTACAGCTGCAACCCGGGTTTCTTTTTGGAGGGGCACGCATTGCTCACTTGCCATGAGAGTCTGGAAAATACTGCATCCTGGGATTTCCCTCTGCCCTTCTGTCGTGGTAGGTGTTCTTCCTTGTCTTTTATTTTGGGTTTTCTTAATACGTACCATAGATGCTGGCCAGCACTCTAAATGACTTAGCAAGAGTTATCTAGATAGGAGACAAATCCTATTGTAGGAGTTTGGACAGAGGGGAGTTCTGTAACAGATAGTCTAAATTCTGTGCAAAAGAAAAGCTGAATTATGTATCTGCATACATTATACAACAGAGCAGACTTGCATATTTTATTAAGCATAATTCATCCACTTTATGCTAATATGCACATAGAGTCAGGTTGTGCTTCGACCCTCTGGAGACACTATTCATCTATCCTATTCACTTTTGTAATTTCAGCAGACATGTACTTTTAAATATATATTGGCAACCATAAGAGCCAGGGAACTTTTTTTTTAAAATCAAGGTTATTAGGAAGCTGAATCTATCTATCTATCTATCTATCTATCTATCTATCTATCTATCTATCTATCTATCTATCTATCTATCTTTTTAAAATTTTTCCCCTGTACCCCCTCAGAATTGTGGCATATATATAATCTATCCTAGTATAATATAAGTAGGCCTGAATACAGTTTTTTCCAGTCTGTTCTATTTTGGTTACGCATATATAGAAAAGCCACTTGATTCCCTGTCATTCTAACCATTCCACATGGGATTAACCGGTAAGTTCACATACAGAAGTTTTTGCTTTATTTTGTCATAATATCAGTCCTTCCTGCTCATTCATCTCTTCCCTCCCTCATATATCCCCAGTGACCTTTAGCACAGTATCTTGTGTTAATTCTTTTATTGAGCCTTTGAGCATGTAATCAATTAGCAATCCTGGGATGGAGCATTGATCTTGCATTTAAATTGAGCCAAGATGGTTTGCTAACTGATGGATAATTCTTGGTACTTTCCTCAACAAGTAGCAAGAGTTAGGTTGCATTTGTGTGCGTGTGTGTGTGTGTGTGTGTGTGCCTTCAAGTCAGTGTTGATTCCTGGTGACTGCCTGAAGATTTCTGGACAAGATTTCCAGAAGTGATTTGCCCTTGCCTCCTAGGGCTGAGAGAGAGGGGTGGCCCAAGGTCACCCAGCTGGCTTTGTGCCTCAGGCAGGACCAGAACTCATGGTCTCCCAGTTTCTAGCCTGATGGACTGGATTTTATTCCTGCACTTATCTGTTGCTTCTGTTATGGTGCTGGGAGTTTGAGAAGTGGCTCTAGCACTACTGGAGTTGTGCCAGTGAAGGACCCTTCCGCCTCTCCATTTTTCATCTCTTTCATCATCCATCTTGACTTCCTGCTGAGTTGGTGAATCCACTGAAGAACTTTTTTTGATGTAACTTGGCTGTAGAAAGTAATCCCTTTATCTCGATACCTAGCATTAAATCATATTCATTTATGTTTTGTACAGGACTAGTTGCATTTGTAAAGACCAGTGCTGCATTTAAGACTAAACCAAACTAGCTTGCTAGTTTTTGTTAATATTCTCAGTGGCCTGGAAACAATGAACAGAATCCGCTCTCTCAAATCATTGGGACCAGAATATATTTAGTTGGGCAAATTTGTCCTTGATCTCCGTTGCCTTTTGTTTTTAATGTTAAAACATTTAGAACATCTTTAAAGGTACCATATTTTAGATTTTAATTTTTAATTACTTTTAGAAATATTTCAATATATGTTTAGTTTTCTGGATTATGACTTTTTAAGCTTCAAGCCCAGGTACAGGTAGTCCTCACTTACCAACATTTGTTTAGTGACCATTCAAAATTGCAACAGTGCTGAACAAAGGGACTTACAACCGGTTCTTGCACTTACAACCGTCACAGCACCCCTGCGGTCACGATCATGATCCGGACAGTTGGAACCCAGCTTGCACTTATGATGGTTGCAGCATCCCAGGGTCACATGATCACCCTTGGCAACCTTCCCAGCCAGCTTCCAGCAAGCAAAATCACTGGGGAACCGTGTGATTCACTTAATGAATGCATGATTCATTTAACAGCTGCGGTGATTCACTTAATGACCACTGCAAAAAAAGTTGTAAAATTGGGTGTGACTTGCTTAAGAACCACCCCATTTAACAATGACTATTGTGGTCATTAAGTGAGGACCACCTGTACTTGTTTGAGTAGAACAATGGCATATAAATGAAATAATAAACATATTGGATTATATACCAAGTTTCTCACTTTTAAGCTACAAATAATCAGATCACATTTGACTTAGCTTGTTTAGATTATGTGTATCTTTGAGTCAGTGTTGACTCCTGGTGACTGCCTGGAGAAGTCCCTGCATTTTTCTTGGCAATATTTTCAAAAGTAGTTAGCCATTGCCTCCTTCCTAGGGCTGAGTCAATGCAAAAAGAAAAAACAAGAAAGTAGTAAAAGTTAGTCCCCTTGAAAAGAAAATCAGTAAAAATTGTAAAATGTAAGAAAGATTTGCACCTACAAGGTAATAACTTTCTTCCAAGAATCTTAACAAAACTCATCTTCCTTGCCCTTGATGACCTGTTTTCACTAAAACAGTTAAGACACTAGTAATACAAAGGTTGGATTTATCATGCTAATTCAGAATCTGGCTTTCTTTACTATGATGTGAATCCCAGCCATGAGATTTTTATGTTGTATACTGTTGCCACTTCTGTGGCCACCCACTCATACTCAACTTGGCTTAATACACTGGCTGAACTCAGCTGGCATGCTGTAGTGTGATGGGTAAACCCAATCTACAGTATAGTATCAAAGTATAGTATCTTAAAAATAAATTGATCATAATATATTGCCAGGAATACAGCTGATTCCCAAGCGCTAGACTTTTGGTCTCTCAGCATTATAGCCCAATCAACAGGGTTACTACGTTGGGGAAAAATGGGAGGACAAAGTGCTCTGCATACCTCTTCAAGCTCTGAAGGAAAGGGAAGATGTAAATCTAACAAGTACATAAATGTTTAAAAAATTGTTTAAAGCTCAATCTGATTGCATATGGTCCTTTTAAAAAATAGCATTTTAATTCATAGGGAGGAGGGTATGTGCAGCAAACTTCATGCTTGGTCCAAAAGCATATGCAAAATGCAATGACCAGGATAATGGATGTTACACCTTGGTTGAATCAACTGCACTAGTTGCCAGTTAGCAACCAAGCCATGTTCATGTGTGGTGCAGCAGTAAGATGTCGGTTTTGGACTGGGAAAGACCCTCCATGATGGAAAGACCTTGGGTGACTCTAGGCCAGTCACTCTCTTTGTCAGCTCAACCAACCTTATGGAGTTCATGTTGGGATAAAATAAAGGGAGATCACCATCAAATGTTTCTTGAACTCTTGAGGAAAAGGCAGGATGCAAATTTAACAAATGGTGAAATAAATAAATTTGGGATTAAACCTGGCAAGAGTTTAATTGCTAGATGGCTTCCCAGCCATGGGGTGCCCTCCTGAAGTTGTTTTGGTAAGTTACGGGCACTTTTAGCATACAGAAAACAGATGATTCCCTTTTAATTCTCCTTAGTTGTTATGGATCTGTTTCTTGGTGATCATTAAGACTTGATCGTATTTTTACAGAAGTCTTAACGTTTCCCTTGAAATCCTTCTGATGTGTCCTCAGTAATGTATTCATTATCACGAATAAGACAGGAACATCAGGTGATATGTGAACGCTTCCTGGATCAATTACGTTATCTTTTATCAAGTATCCTTGATCCTTATGGCTTTGTGTCACAGAAGGCTCCTCCCATATCCACCATATATTTTGTTTAAATGAATTGTCCTGAGGATGGTTGCTGACAAAAAGTCTATTAAAGCAGGCTTTCTCCTCTAGTTGTCTCATGATACATTGGACAAATGTTTCATAGGGGCAATGGGAGCCGTAGTCCCTCACCCTTGAAGAGCATGGAGCTGGGGAAGCCTCATTTGCCATTCTCACTGGACAGCAGCCTCAGCTTTTTTCTCTCTTCCTGTAAATAGGCCATTTGCAAAGCTCAAGGAAGGGCCTGATAACTACCCTTTGTTTTCTCTCGCCCCGTGTTATAAAGCATTGGCATTTTGTTCGGCGCTTAGAAACAGTCACTGTCGGCAATAGTGGGAGCATCAATTATTGACTGCCACCTGCAGCCCATTAGAGGGAGAGTTGCCCAGAGAATTCTTGTTCTATTCTGGAAATTAGGATCACGTCACTGAGCAGCCACTTCTGAATTTGTGGCTCTGTTAAGGCAGCTGATCGTTTCTCACCGTGATCACGTTCCTTCAGATCGTTTGCCTGTTCCACTTAGCTTTGTTCAGCTCTATGGTGGAAGCTTGGAAATCAGGGGAAGGCAAGTGAGATTCTCATCTTGAAGGGCTGTAAGGGTTGCTCCCCCCTTCTTTTTTCATGTGGTCTAGAAGAAAAGTAGCTGTGCCAAACTTCTGTTACCTGCAGAAAGAATTATATGGAAATGGCATTCAAACGATTTGATCCACCACCCCAAATTCTTTTCATAATGGCTTCTTTAGCAAGTACATCATAAAACTGAGGAACAAGCTAACTGTGGGAGAAGCCAGGAAGGACATCTCCAAACACCAAAGTGGACTCCCCATGTCTGGGACAGAGATCTTTGGTAGGAGTAGTCCATTTCTAACCAAGTTCAAATCCTGTTATAAACCAAAAGTGTTGGGATGCTGACTTTCAGAAGCACAGGTAGTCCTTATTTAGCAACCACAATTGGGACCGGCAACTCAGTTGTTAAGTGAAGCGATTGCTAAGTGAAACCGTGATTGTGCTTATGATCTTACTTCACTTTCCTTTGCTTTACAGACCTGTCTGCTGTAC